GCGTCAACTATTTTCAGTTTCAGTTTTCTAGACAACTGCTTAGAAGAACCCATGGCGCTGATTGTTGGGGCAAGGTCAGATGAGTCGGGGCATTTAAAACCTTGAGACTGACATCACCTGGTCTTCCCAGACGATGATTGAGAACAATCCATGACACTGGCAGGTCTCAGCTTAGCAAAGGGGGCAGTGCATGCTATAAATTCTGCAGGGGGCCCAAACTTTTGCAGACGCTTTTTTTTTTTTTTCTGTTATTCTGAAAGTGTAAATTGATGGAAATAAAATCTAACTTTTGTTGACATATTATAAGAATGTCTAATCTGTAATTTGATGCCTTTTGGAGATTTTTCCATCTTTCCTTGGCTTCTTTATGCACATTATTTAACAAATTTTTAGCTGGGGTGCCCAAACTTTCGATCCCCACTGTTATATAATTCCTAACTCTGGTGTTGTCAGATTTCATCCTGCCTCTTCTTTCCAGACCTTCTTAAATCTTTTTAGGAACTCCATAGTTGATTCCTTGCTGCTCTGCTTACAAGCAACTGCTGTATCTAGTGACTGCTTATCTTTCCACAACCTCTGCATTTCTGCAGCCAACTCCTTCCACATCTGTTCCCGACACGGTAGTTCTCCACTCATATTCCACAGCCAGTTTAAATGGTTCATGAAGCTCATAAATACCAGCACGTTGGTCCAAACCCAACCTGATTCCATATCATATCCCAAAATTCATCGATGATTATCCTCATGTGCTCTTGTACATGGATGTCTGTCCTCCTGATTTCATTGCCTTGCTTACTACTTGCCTTTTTTTTTTCTCCATCTTGGTCCTGGGCAACGGAGCAGTCACAGTTTGCTGCATCTGGTCTAATGTCCTTCCCAATGTAACTTTTGTTTCTTTCCACTCTTTATTCATTTCACACATAACAAATAATCCTCATCCTTAGGGAGCTGAGGATACAGCTGAATATAATCAGGAAGCGCAGTGGCAGGCGTCAAGAGTGCCATAAAAAGGATTATTACTGTGTTTTAGCTACTGGGGCAGAAGGGATTGGTGTCGGGTACTTATATCCTGGGCCATACTTCAACCAATTCAATGCTCCCCCTCTCATATATTTCATATCCCACTCAGGATCTGGACCAAAATAGGGAAAGTCAGTTTTATCCCCTAAACATATCCCCTTTATCATATCCATGTGAAAATCATCATTGTCCCCATCTCTGGGAAAAGGACTGGCACTCCCCATGGTTGAACTCCACCCCACCAAGCTGTCCACTCATGGGACAACACAACAATCCCAAGGTGACACTCAGACAACATACTCTTTACATGTCTCATTAGCTGGTAGTTGGGATTTTTCTAGAGATGATCCGTCTTCCTTAGTAAATTTCTTTAACAGTTTTCTTCCTCTGAATACTTTACACGGTGGCTCCGGAGGGTCTGGGTACTTCCCCTTACCTTGGGAGTTTCCCATCATCACTGCAAAGCAAAGAAGCAATATTATGTGAGCTGGCCTATGTGTTTCTGTCCCGTGATGACTCTTTGTGCCGGGTGAAGCTGGACTGAACTCACATAGAGCTCCGACAAAATTCTCTCAACTGCACAAGTGCTTCAAGGCTGAAAATCCCCCTGGACAGGTACACCCCTATTGTGACTCCTTCAGACTGTCACCATGCTTTCACCTATCCCAGGTCAATGGAGAAATCTCCTCGCTGAGTAGATGGGGCGTCTCACAGTCCTACAGAGACTTAGAATACATCTACTGAACAGTTTCTCTCTAGTTACAAGCGTACATAATCACTGAACACACTACTCTGTATGATTGTATGGAGGACATACACACATTTCTTATACATCAACCTAGGTTCTGTTTAACCCCGCGAGCTCCCAAAGCTCCAGCGGACAATTGCTCGTGCTACCGCAGCAGCACAGAGGCTTGGTGGAGATAGGGGGCAATCAGGGCAAAGGAAGACAAAAAAATGCTCACTTACCTCCGATGGCCCGATCCTATCCCACTTCTGACACCACTTCTGTCAGGAACATCAATTTATGCCGGCCTCCTCCTCCATACAAACATCCAGTTCAAAGTACTTTGGGAATAATAATGCAAGTCAGACATCTGGATGTGTGATGCAAAATGTGACTTCTTTATTATTCATCAAGCTTTAAGTAATAAATGAGAATGCGGCATATTTCAGGCAGTTTCCATAAAGCACCAATCAGAATACAGAATAGAGATTTCAGTAAACTACTCCATGGCACGTCATAACAAAAATACAACAGGATAGTGACTTCTGTGATTTCTATAAACAAGAAATGTGTGCATAGATACCAGCATTCACATCCCACGGGAACATCTTGTATGTACAACAAACCAGTTAGTAGGCACAAAGCAAAAGTGAGTGAACTATTAACCCTTTCATATAGTAGGTGGAGCTAATTACTGATTCTTAGCGCCATCTAAAGGACAAATAGGGTTTTTTTTTTTTTTTAAAAATCAATGGTTGGTTTAATCCTGAGGTTTTATTCAATGTATGTTCATTAATAACTACTGTGCTCATAAATGTATGAGTGTGATCTCCGGCATTTGTATGACACCACCCCTAACATAGTAAACTAAAAATACATTGGGGGAGCCGTGACAAATTCTGGCCATATTTTAATAAACACTGATTTCCTATATATAATCGTCAGCTCCATCTAGTGGCCATAGTGAGGTATTGGTTCCAAAATGCCTCAATCAGCAAAAACAGTTCAATACATATGGCCACTAGATGGAGCCAATGATCATAGGAAATCACTGTATGAAAAGACCAACATGTGACATGGCTGAATGAATGCTGGTCATATTAGTTCATCTATTCTCTAAGTGGGGTGGTATCTATTGGGCCAATCCCTTTTACAAACCACACACATAATATCGCCCTTCAAAGTGAAAACAGAAACAATTTGCACAAAATCAAAGAGTAGAAATATTTTCCGGTGGATCCCCTCTACCCAGACCCCATATGTAGACATACAGTGAAGGAAATGCGTATTTGCTCCCCTGCTGATGTTGAATGTTCGCCCCTCACAAAGAAATGATCGGTGTAAAAATCGAATGTTCGGTGTATTGTAACACTGAGAGACAGATGCATTTCTGCTGAATTTGTTGTTGCTATTCTAACAAATGATGACTGATCTGCATGTTCATGATGAGGGAATATAAGGATTTGATCCCCTTCACAAAACATGACTTAGTACTTAGTGTGGCAAATCTCTTGTTGGCAATCACAGAGGTCAGACGTTTCCTGGAGTTGGCCCCCAGGTTTGCACACATCTCAGGAGAGATTTTGGCCCACTCCTCTTCAGATCCTCTCCAAGCAGAGGTTTGGTGATTGATGTTTGGCAACTCAAACTTTCATCCCCCTTCACAGATTTTAAATCGAATTAGGGTCTGGAGACTGGCTAGGCCACTCCAGGACCTTAATGTGCTTCTTCTTGTGCCGCTCCTTTGTTGCCTTGGCCGTGTGTTTTGGGTCATTGTCATGCTGGAACACCCATCCATGACCCATATTCAATGCCTTGGCTGAGGGAAGAAGGTTCTCACCCAAGATTTGATGGTACATTGCCCCAGTCAATCGTCCCTTTGATACGGTGCAGTTGTCCTGTCCCCTTAGCAGAAAAACACCCCCAAAGCAGAATTTTTCCACCACCATGTTTCACAGTTGGGATGGTGTTCTTGGGGTCATAGGCAGCATTTCTCCTCCTTCAAAACGGCGAGTTGAGTTGATGCCAAAGAGCTGGATTTTGGTCTCCTCTGACCACAACACTTCCCACCAGTCCTCCTCTGCATCATTCAGATGTTCAGTGGCAGACTTCAGACGGGCCTGGACATGTGCTTTCTTGAGCAGAGGGACCTTGCGGGCACTGCAGGATTTCAGTCCTTGTCGGCGTAGTGTGTTACCAATTGTTTTCTTGGTGACTGTGGTCCCAGCTGCCTGGAGATCATTGACAAGATCCTCACGTGTAGTTCTGGGATGATTCCTCACTGTTCTCATGATCATTGACACTCCACGACGGGAGATCTTGCATGGTGCACCAGACCTAGGGAGACTGACACTTGTTTTGTGTTTCTTCCATTTGTGAATGATTGCACCAACTGTTGTCACCTTCTCACCAAGCTGCTTGGCCATAGTTTGGTAGCCCAGTCCAGCCTTGTGTAGGTCTACCATCTTGTCCCTGACATCCTTGGACAGCTCTTTGGTCTTTGCCATGGTGGAGAGTTTGGAATCTGATGGTTTGATTGCTCCTGTGGACAGGTGTCTTTTATACAGGTAACACAATGAGATTAGCAGCACTCCCTTTAAGAGACTGCTTCTAATCTCAGCTTGTTACCTGTATGAGAGACACCTGGGAGCCAGAAATCCTGCTGAATGATAGGGGATCAAATCCTTCTTTCCCTCATGAACATGCAGATCAGTCATCATTTGTTAGACGCATTTCTGCTGAATTTGTTGTTGTATTCTGTCTCTCAGTGTTACACCGAACATTCCATTGTTAGACCGATCATTTCTGTGTGAGGGGCGAACATTCAGCATCAGCAGGGGGGGGGCGAACAAATACGCATTTCCTTCACTGTAGGCTGCACCCCAATGAAAAGTCAGCCCAGTGCTCTAGGTCAGGACTCCATTTTTATTCTTCTGCTATCAATGGCCAACCCGGTCCCACACTTCATCCATGTCTTTGGGGGCCTCTCATCTCCTTATGAACTGTTTCTTCCATGATGAAGATCAGCCATGGAGTATATCTGAGGTGTATATCAGGGTGTGCTTCTTCCCCACATGAGAGCTGGGATGTCCAGCAACATTCATCTAGAAGACATTTCCCGCACTCAAGGCACTAATACACCTCCAGGGTTGTGTGGGATCCCTGATGTACAGGAAGACAGGACTTCAGTGAGGAACATTTCCCTCACTCAGGACAGGAAAGTGGCTTCTCCCCTGCATGAGATCTCTGATGTTTATGAAGACAGGACATCTCTGAAAAAACCTTTTCCACACTCAGAACAGGAATACGGCTTCTCCCCCGTGTGAGATCTTTGATGTGTGTGTGAAAGATAGGATTTCCGTGTAAAACATTTCCCACACTCAGGACAGGAATATGGCTTTTCCCCGTGTGTGAGATCTCTGATGTGTGTGAAAGATTGGATTTTGTAAAAAAACATTTCCCACACTCAGGACAGGAATTGGCTTTTCCCCTGTGTGAGATCTCTGATGTGTGTGAAGATTGGACTTCTGTGAAAAACATTTCCCACACTCAGGACAGGAATACGGCTTGTCCCCTGTGTGAGATCTCTGATGTTCATGAAGACTGAACTTCTGTGAAAAACATTTCCCGCACTCAGGACAAGAATATGGCTTCTCCCCCGTGTGAGATCTTTGATGTTTATGAAGACTGGACTTCTCTGAAAAACATTTTCCACACTCAGGACAGGAATACGGCTTGTCCCCCCGTGTGAGATCTCTGATGTTTATGAAGAATGGACTTCTCTGAAAAACATTTCCCACACTCAGGAACAGGCATATGGCTTCTCCCCCCGTGTGAGATCTTTGATGTTGTTGAAGATTGGACTTCACTGAAAAACATTTCCCACACTCAGGACAGGAAATGGCTTTTCCCCTGTGTGAGATCTCTGATGTGTGTGAAGATAGGACTTCCGTGTAAAAACATTCCCGCACTCAGGACAGGAATACGGCTTCTCCCCCTGTGTGATCTTTGATGTGTGTGAAGATAGGACTTTCTGTAAAAAACATTTCCCGCACTCAGGACAGGAATATTCCCCAGTGTGAGATCTCTGATGTGTGTACAGATAGAATGTGAAAAACTTTCTGTGAAAAACCCACTCAGGACAGGAATACGGCTTCTCCCCTGTGTGAGATCTTTTATGCACATTAAGTTTGGATTTAGAACAGAAACCCTTCCCGCACTCAGTACAGGAGAAGATCTTCCCTGTTGGAAGGCCGGCCCGGTCCCGCACAGTCTGAGGTTCCTCAGGATACGAGGAATCCGATGGTCCATCTACACTGGGTGGTGCCGGATGGACATTGGAGGGAGCCGGGTTTTCTCCTGGACTATACTGTGTGATGTCCTCATCTTCTACTTTCCAGTCTGGAGACAAAGTGAGACAATCCTCGGAGGTTTTCCTCATCTCCCGGCATGGACTAAAATACAAAGACAAAGAGGATTACTAGACAGGAGCTGATTGGTTCCCCCAAACCAGGACTCCGCCCACATCAGGCAGCTTGGTCTCTGAGGAGCTTACAATTCCACCCTCAAGGGAACTAGGAAATGGCTCCTCTGATCTCCTACCAGGTCATTTCTTTATTCATGGACCTTAGTCAGAGAGTGAGGAAACAACCAGAACTGTCTTTTATAGGAGGGACAGTGATGAGGGGATTATAGGACGAGGGTCCCCACCCCCTCTATCACTCATCGCCATCTTCCCAACACAAGAAGTACTGCACTTCCTTATTTAGTCCATGATTTAGTCATGAAGAACAGCGGGGCTGAGCCCCACCAGAGGTCAGAGAGTGAGGATGGGGGGAGAACAACCAAGATGAAGACTGGACTGATCCTGAAGACCACCATCATTGGGGTATTGACTCCTCCCTCATTATCACTTTCTGTTTAAGGGTCCAAAGTTGGAGGATGTTATCACATTATTATCACCATGTAAACGTCTGTGCTCCAATCACATCATCCGATATAAAATGTCCAGCTGGGAGGAAATGGGTGTAACAAAAGATAATTCATATTATGTGTATATATAGCAGTGGGGGGAGGGGGAGAGCAGAAGTCAGGACTATGGAATGTACAACATAGAGTATATAGTGCAGGGGTCAGGAGTATGTAATGTACAACATAGAGTATATAGTGCAGGGGTCAGGAGTATGTAATGTACAACATAGAGTATATAGTGCAGGGGTCAGGAGTATGTAATGTACAACATAGAGTATATAGTGCAGGGGTCAGGAGTATGTAATGTACAAGTTATATAGTATAAGGGTCAGGACTCACAGTATTAGTATTCTGTAATCAGTGGAAGCTTAAATGTTTACTGTAGACAACATTTAGAGGTGAGCTGGGATTAAACCATCAAGAAACAGGTTAGATTGGAGGTGAGCAAATCCATGGACAGAGGGGTGGCTGTGGACGTGGTATACTTGGACAGAGGGGTGGCTGTGGAAGTGGTATACTTGGACAGAGGGATGGCGGTGGATGTAGTACACTTGGACATAGGGATGATGGTGGACGTGGTATACTTGGACGGAGGGGTGGCTGTGGACGTGGTATACTTGGACAGAGGGGTGGCGGTGGACGAGGTATACTTGGACAAAGGGGGGGCGGTGGATGTGGTATACTTGGACAGAGGGGTGGCGGTGGACGTGGTATACTTGGAAAGAGGGGTGGCTGGGACGTGGCATACTTGGACAGAGGGGTGGCGGTGGACATGGTATACTTGAACAGAGGGGTGGCGGAGGACGTGGTATACTTGGACAGAGGGCTGGTGGTGGACATGGTATACTTGGACATAGGGGAGGTGGTGGATGTGGTATACTTGGAAAGAGGGGTGGCAGTGGACGTGGTATAGTTGGACAGAGGGGTGGTGGTGGATGTGGTATACTTGGACAGAGGGGTGGCAGTGGACGTGGTATACTTGGACAGAGGGATGGACGTGGTATACTTGGACAGAGGGGTGGTGGTGGTGGGTGTGGTATACTTGGACAGAGGGGTGGATGTGGACGTGGTATACTTGGACAGAGGGGTGGCTGTGGACGTGGTATACTTGGACAGAGGGATGGCGGTGGACATGGTATACTTGGACAGAGGGGGGTGGCGGTGGACGTGGTATACTTGGACAGAGGGGGGGCGGTGGACATAGTATACTTGGACAGAGGGTGGCGGTAGACGTGGTATACTTGGACAGAGGGGGTGGCGGTGGACATGGTATACTTGGACAGAGGGATGGCGGTGGACATGGTATACTTGGACAGAGGGGTGGCGGTGGACATAGTATACTTGGACAGAGGAGTGGCTGTGGACGTGGTATACTTGGACAGAGGGGTGGCTGTGGACGTGGTATACTTGGACAGAGGGGATGGCGGTGGACATGGTATACTTGGACAGAGGGGTGGCGGTGGACGTGGTATACTTGGACAGAGGGGTGGCGGTGGACATAGTATACTTGGACAGAGGAGTGGCGGTGGACGTGGTATACTTGGACAGAGGGGGTGGCGGTGGACATGGTATACTTGGACAGAGGGTGGCGGTGGACGTGGTATACTTGGACAGAGGGGTGGCGGTGGACATGGTATACTTGGACAGAGGGGTGGCGGTAGACGTGGTATACTTGGACAGAGGGGTGGCGGTGGACATGGTATACTTGGACAGAGGGAGTGGCGGTGGACATGGTATACTTGGACAGAGGGGTGGCGGTGGACATAGTATACTTGGACAGAGGAGTGGCTGTGGACGTGGTATACTTGGACAGAGGGGTGGCGGTGGACGTGGTATACTTGGACAGAGGGATGGCGGTGTGACATGGTATACTTGGACAGAGGGGTGGCGGTGGACGTGGTATACTTGGACAGAGGGGTGGCGGTGGACATAGTATACTTGGACAGAGGAGTGGCGGTAGACGTGGTATACTTGGACAGAGGGGGTGGCGGTGGACATGGTATACTTGGACAGAGGGTGGCGGTGGACATGGTATACTTGGACAGAGGGTGTGGCGGTGGACGTGGTATACTTGGACAGAGGGGTGGCTGTGGACGTGGTATACTTGGACAGAGGGATGGCGGTGGACATGGTATACTTGGACAGAGGGGTGGCGGTGGACGTGGTATACTTGGACAGAGGGGAGGCGGTGGACATAGTATACTTGGACAGAGGAGTGGCGGTAGACGTGGTATACTTGGACAGAGGGGTGGCGGTGGACATGGTATACTTGGAACAGAGGGGTGGCGGAGGACGTGGTATACATGGACAGAGGGGTGGCGGTGGACGTGGTATACTTGGACAGAGGGGTGGCTTTGGACATGGTATACTTGAACAGAGGGGTGGCGGAGGACGTGGTATACATGGACAGAGGGGTGGCGGTGGACGTGGTATACTTGGACAGAGGGATGGCGGTGGACATGGTATACTTGGACAGGGATGGCGGTGGACATGGTATACTTGGACAGAGGGGAGGCGGTGGACATAGTATACTTGGACAGAGGAGTGGCGGTAGACGTGGGTATACTTGGACAGAGGGGTGGTGGCGGTGGACATGGTATACTTGAACAGAGGGGTGGCGGAGGACGTGGTATACATGGACAGAGGGGTGGCGGTGGACGTGGTATACTTGGACAGAGGGGTGGCTTTGGACATGGTATACTTGAACAGAGGGGTGGCGGAGGACGTGGTATACTTGGACAGAGGGGGTGGCGGTGGACGTGGTATACTTGGACAGAGAACTGGTGGTGGACATGGTATACTTGGACATAGGGGAGGTGGTGGATGTGGTATACTTGGAAAGAGGGGTGGCAGTGGACGTGGTATAGTTGGACAGAGGGGTGGACGTGGTATACTTGGACAGAGGGGGGCGGTGGACATGGTATACTTGGACAGAGGGTTGGCGGTGGACGTGGTACACTCGGACAGAGGGTGGCGGTGGACGTGGTATACTTGGACAGAGGGGTGGATGTGGTATACTTGGACAGAGGGGTGGCAGTGGACGTGGTATACTTGGACAGAGGGATAGACGTGGTATACTTGGACAGAGGGGTGGGCGGTGGGCGTGGTATACTTGGACAGAGGGGTGGCTGTGGATGTGGTATACTTGGACAGAGGGGTGGCGGTGGACATGGTATATTTGGACAGAGGGGTGGCGGTGGACATGGTATACTTGGACAGAGGGGTGGTGGTGGACGTGGTATACTTGGACAGAGGGGGTGGCGGTGGACATAGTATACTTGGACAGAGGAGTGGCGGTGGACGTGGTATACTTGGACAGAGGGGTGGGGTGGGACGTGGTATACTTGGCCAGAGGGGAGGCGGTGGACGTGGTATACTTGGACAGAGGGGTGGCGGTGGACATGGTATACTTGGACAGAGGGGAGGCGGGTGGACGTGGTATACTTGGACAGAGGGGTGGCGGTGGACATGGTATACTTGGGACAGAGGGTGGCGGTGGACATGGTATACTTGGACAGAGGGGAGGTGGCGGTGGACGTGGTATACTTGGACAGAGGGGAGCGCGGTGGACGTGGTATACTCGGACAGAGGGGTGGTGGGTGGAGTGGTATCTTGGACAGAGGGGGATGGTGGTGGAAGTTGAGTATACTTTGGACAGAGGGGTGGTGGAGT